TCCAGCCTCTCTCCACCCAGCCTGCCCATCCCCCCCACCTGCCTCCCCACTCCCTCTCCACCCAGTCCCCAACCCCGCTGCACCTGCTCCCCACTTCCAAGCCCCGAGCAACATCTATGAGCTGCTAAGCATCACTATGTCGTCAGTGGAAAGGGTTAATTCTCTCCAGGGTGGGGAGGGGCAGCATGGGGCACATCTGGGCTGGAAACACCCCTCGGAGCCTGGGGAGGGGATGCTCAGACCCCAGGTGGGGAAGTGGAGGAGACTGGGCACTGACCACAGCTTGCCTAGGCAGTGAGACATGGGGATGGGGGCAGCCATGACCAGATGGAGCTTCTGCCACACACCCCCCCCCCACACACACACCCGGTGCCCGTACAGGCTCTGGCCTGATTGACAGACTCTGGCCCCATGTCCCAGGCGCAGCTCAGAGCCTGGGAATTCGGGGCACCCCCTGGTGGGGCTGGTAGCAGCCGTGCTGAGCCGGTCTCAGTCAGGAAGGGACAGGTATGAATGGGAGCCGCACCAGGCCCCCTGCCTGTCCCACTCTCGGGACTCTGCAGCACCAGGATGCAGCTGAGGTTTCGGCTGGTTTTATTGGCACATTCAGGTCACTGGCACATGGATCAAGGCCAGCACTGGGCACCATGCCTGGCCAAGGGCAGGGGCGGGGGCTGGGACAGGGCAGAGAGCTGCAGGTTGTAAGCGTTGGAGGTTTTGGGGTCTGACTGGAGGACAGGGATTGGCCGGGGCCTTGTGGGTCTCATTGGAGGACTGGGATTGGCTGGATCCTGTCAGGTCAAGTCTCACTGGAAGGCAGGGATTGGCTGGGTCCTGGCAAACATCACTGGAGGTGGCACTGTAGGACTGGGATTGGCTGGGGCCTGGCAGGTATCAATGAAGGGTTGGGATTGGCTGGGGCCTGGCAAACATCACTGGAGGACAAGGATTGGCTGGGGCCTGGTAGTGGCACTGTAGAGCTGGAATTGGCTGGGGCCTAATGGGTATCAATGAAGGGTGGGGATTGGCTGGGGCCCAGCAGATAGCACTGAAGGGCAAGGATTGGCTGGGGCCTGCAGGTATCAATGAAGAGTGGGGGTTGGCTGGGGCCTGGCGGTGGCACTGCAGGGTTGGGATTGGCTGGGGCCGAGCAGATAGCACTGAAGGGCAAGGATTGGCTGGGGCCTGCAGGTATCAATGAAGAGTGGGGGTTGGCTGGGGCCTGGCGGTGGCACTGGAGAGTTGGGATTGGCTGGGGCCTGGCAGATGTCACTGTAGGGCTGGGATTGGCCAGGCTAGGGCCAGATGGGTGTCACTGGAGGGCAAGGGCAGGGACAAGGGCGGGGAGCTGTCAGGACCAGGCCATGTGTCCTGGCGGTTGTGGGGGCTCAGCCGCTTGCCACATTGGAAGTCTCTGTGGACGGGCTCTTGGAGACAGCGCAGACATGGAAAATACCTGTGGAAGAGAGAGAGAGTCAGGGGAGGGAGGGATGCCAGGGAAGCATCAGGGGGTGGAGAGGGGTAGAGGGCACAAGTGGGGTGGGCAGAGCAGGGGTGGATGGCAGGGCCTCTGCCCATTTAGCTGCTCCCCTCATCCCAGGGGCACTGTGGGGTATCCGTCATACAGCCCTCCTCCTCAGGCCTCCCTGTAGGCCAGCACCCCTCAGTGCTGCTCGGGCCCCGGAGGGAGAGCCGTGCAGGGCAGTGGGAAGGAGGGAACAGCATATGTAGCTCCAGGCAGCCAGGATCTTGACTGGTGGGTGAGCAGGGAGCCCAGGCCTGGGATCCCTGGCATGGAAAGGGAGATGGAGTGCAGTGATGGGCCCCTAGGGGCCTGGACACACAGAGGGGAGCAGAGGAGGACCCCTCTGGAGCAGTTACCTGCCGAGAGGGTGAGGATGACGGCGATCCAGCCCAGGATGTAGGACCAGGAGAAGCGCCAGTCAGTGTAGCGCTTACCAAAGAAATTCACCGTCACACCAGTGTACACTGACAGCCCCAGCAAAGCAAAGAGACCTGCCGGGGGAGCAGAGGAGAGAGAGGGCTGAGCACCGACTCCACTCATCACATTCAGGCACCAGCAATGCAGGGCTGCCTGCTAGAACACCTCACGCCAATGCACTTGCATGCAGGGACCTGGCCTGGCGCGGCTCTGCTACGGGTGCCCGCCTCGGCACTACAGTGCTTGGACCTGGCACGTTGCGGTTCTGCAACACAGGGACCTGGCCCAACTCAGCACCGCAATGCTGGGACCTGGCCTGGCTCATGCAATGCTGGGACCTGGCACAGCTTAGCACCAATATGCAGGGACCCAGTGCAGCACTGCAATGCAGGACCTGGTGTGGCTCAGCACTACCCTGTGCTACTTTTACTGAGCATGACTGGCTATGGGGAGAAGTTCCCTCCCCCTCCCTGCCCCGTGTCTGGGCCTGTGAGTGGCTCCCCCTTTCGGAGCCCCCTGCCCTGTGCTGCTGGAATGCCAGGACAGTCACTGACATGATGGGATGCCCTCCCCACCCCCACCCCAGCCAGCCCTGTCCCTAAAGACTCAGCCAAACCCTTCCTAGTGGCGCGGTAGGAGCTGTACCGGAGAGGCAGCTCCTGCCCCCACCCCAGGGCCATCCCCTCGCTGGGGCCATGGGGCTACTCTGAGCTGTTCCCCAGCCCTGCCCGTCCTGCCCCAGCCCTGTCACTCTCCCAGGCAGCTCCCTGGGGTAGCCATGGAGCCGGCACTCACCTAGCTCTGCTGCCCTCAGCCCCACACCCCACCCTCAGCTCCTTGAGCTGTGCCCCCCGGCCCGAGTGCCCGTGGCCCCTGCCTGCACCCTTCTCCCAGAGCCAGGGGCCTGCCAGGAACCAGCCTGCCCAGAGCCCACCAGGCAGCTCCGTGGCTCCCTCTGCTGGACCCGGCTGGGAACGTTTTCCGACCCGGTTCGCTCCCGGCTCCTGCACCTGCCGCAAACCCTGAGCTGGGTCCCTCCTTCCAGCACGGCTGCATCCTGCCCCAGCCCCACAGAGGGATGGTCAGAGCGGCCCATCCAGCCCAGCCTCGGCTGAGGGCAGTGCCAGGTGTGCCTGAGCCACAGGGGGCGGGGAGGACCCAGCCGTGGCTAATCCACCCCCCGCTGCCCCTGAAGCATCCCCAAGAGCAGGGCCAGATCAGCCCCACATCGGGCAGCCCAGCCATGGGACTTGCGCCCGAGAGCCACGCCAGGAATTATTCCAGGGCAGCGGGCGAACCGCCCAGCTACAACCAGACCCAAGCTGGCTTTGCGGGTGCTTCTCCATCCCAGCCTGGCCGCTTTCCCATCGCCTGCTGCCTGCCCCTGAGACCCCAGTCCCTTCTCCCACCCGCCCGGG